ACGTTGTCCACAGCAACAGATCAGACTCCAGATGTCACTTTTCTTAACTACTTCCCACCCAGCCAGTGCACATACACTATATTGCCAATAGTATTGGGACGCCTGCTTTACACACACATGAACTTTAATGGCATCCCAGTCTTAGTCCGTAGGGTTCAATATTGAGTTGGCCCACCCTTTGCAGCTATAACAGCTTCAAATCTTCTGGGAAGGATGTCCACAAGGTTCAGGAGTGTGTCTATGGGAGTGTTTGACCATTCTTCCAGAAGCGCATTTGTGAGGTCAGGCACTGATATCGGACAAGAAGGTCTGGCTCGCAGTCTCCACTATAATTCATCCCAAAGGTGTTCTATCTCTGTGCAGTCCAGTCAAGTTCCTCCACCCCAAACTCGCTCATCCATGTCTTTATGGACCTTGCTTTATGCACTGGTGCGCAGTCATGTTGGAACAGGAAGGGGAACAGGAATCCCCAAACTGTTCCCACAAAGTTGGGAGCATGGAATTGTCCACAATGTCTTGGTATGCTGATGCCTTAAGAGTTCCCTTCACTGGAACTAAAGGGCCAAGCCCAAGCCCTGAAAAACAACCCCATACCATAATCCCCCCACCATGCAACTTTTCACTTGGTAATGCAGTCAGGCAAGTACCATTCTCCAGGCAACCACCAAACCCAGACAAAGCCAAGGAATTGCCAGACAGAGAGGCATGATTCGTCACTCCAGAGAACATGTCTCCACTGCTCTAGAGTCCCGTGGCAACCTGCTTTACACCACTGCATCCGATGCTTTGCATTGTACTTGGTGATGTAAGGCTTGGATGCAGCTGCTCTGCCATGGAAACACATTCCATGAAGCTCTCTACGCACTGTTGTTGTGCTAATCTGAAGGCCACATGAAGTTTGGAGGTCTTTAGCTATTGAAACTTCTGCACACTGTGCGCTTCACTGCAGGGCACTGAGTTGCTGTTGTTCCCAGTTGCTTCCACTTTGTTTTAATACCACTAACAGTTGACCGTGGAATATTTAGTAGGAAGGAAATTTCATGGATGGATTTATTGCACAGATGGTAACCTATCACGGGTCCATGCTTGAATTCACTGGGCTACTGTGAGCAACCCATTCTTTCACAAATGTTTGTAGAAGCAGTCTGCATGCCTAGGTGCTTGATTGTATACACCTATGGCCATGGAGGTGATTGGAACATCTGAATCCAATGATTTGAAGGGGTGTCCCAATACTTTTGGCAATATAGTGTATGTGGCCGGGCCAGACAAGTGTCATTCTGGGAGGACCCACCTGTGCTCCCCTGCTACTTCTGGTGCTCGTGCTCGGCCTGCACAAAATGCTGTAATTGGCCCTGGTACCATGTGATCGCTGTGACCAATTACAGCAATCACATTAAAAGTAGGAAATAACAGCTATCATTCATTACTCAATTGCTTACTGATTGGTTACAGTGATCACATGGTATGGAACCAGTCACAGCAGCCCTGTGCCATGTGATAGCTGCAGCCAATCACAGAAGTCACAATAGTAAACAATGGCATCATGAATGGATGCCAAACACGGTTAATAACAGATTGCTTGCTCAATGATCATCATTATATAAGCAATCATAGTGTAAAAAAAAATACCGATCACCACCCCAGAGCAGTACAGTGTCATAGTGGTGACACTGCACCACAGTATATAAAATAAATGTAAAAAATATATATATTTTTTACATACTGTCACCAGAGTGCAGTGTCACTATGATGACATTGTACAGCTGTGGCTGTTTTTATACATAATTTTTTATCATTTTGGATTTGATACACAAGATACAATGTCCAATACATAATCATTCCAGACACTGCAAAAATCTCACACAAGTGGTATTGCTACTTGTGTTTTGGGTTGTAATTCTAAGTGTGCCCATGCTGTGCGTGAGAAATATCTTATTAAACTGACAAATTTTTGTTACAAAATTAATTTTAATTTTTTTATGCATTTTCCAAAAACCTGTGGCAAAAAAATGTAGTCTTCAAAAGACTCACAATGCTTCCTGGGGTGTTTACTTTCCAAAATGTGGTAATTGTATGCGTTTCCAGACTTTTCTGGTGTTCCAGTGCCTCCACAATATGATAGGTAGTCAGGAAATTAGATGTATAATGTATGCCCCGGAACGCCTGGAGGCACTCCTTGGATTTTGGGTCCCTCTATGCAGCTAGGCTGTGAAAAAGTCTCATTCATATGGTATCCCCATACTTGGGAGGCATAGCAGAATATGTTTTAGAGTGTAGTTAAAAGTATGATGTGTGTGTGACATAACTTATTATAATGACAACTACTGTCTTCATTTTCTAACAAATTACAACTTCAACAAACTCACCATGCCTCTTACTAAATATCTTGGACTGTCTGCTTTCAAAAAAGGGGTCATTGGGTTGTTTGCACTTTCCTGGCATTTTAGGGCCTCAAGAAATGAGATAGGCAGTCAGTACATCAGAATTAATCAATATTCAAATATACTGTATATACCATAGCTATATAGACACAGACTAAATAATATACAATGATTTGAGTTATTTTGACCAAAAACATGTAGAAGAATACATTTGGCCTATATATATATATATATATAAAAATATAACTATATAATTTTTTTTTTTTCCCGAAGAATTACGAATTAGTGATTTTTGGCCAACGATCATTATGCTACGCCACTTCTAGTCAGGAAGATTGGAAGATCACTTTGTTGTTTCTGAGTCTGGCATTACAGCTTCCTTAATCAGCCTTACTGCTCAATAGGTCAGCCTCCTATCTTCTGGACAGTGGAGATGATGTTGATAAAGGGATGGATTTACTAAAGGCAAACAGGCTGTCGCGTTGCAAGCAAAGTTCCCCAGAGCTTATAAAATTAGGTGAAATTTCACTTTGCAAAACAATACCTATGATGTGCAGAGAAATGAAAAAAAAATTCAGTTTTGCTTGCACATGAGTAGATGATAGAACTCGACAGAGCTTCAACATATTGAATAAAGCCCAAGATGATTCCATTACACACTGTTAAAACTTGGGGTTGATAAAAAACTGGGGTTGTTAATAAAACAAACATACATACCTGCAGTCTGAGGCAGCTGTCTAGCCAGGTTCTGGGTGGATCCCAACAACATAGTCAGGATCTTTTCAGAGCCTGGAGCGGCTCTGTGATGTCAGTTGATAGTGAAATTTAGCCTGCTGTCAGCTGATTCTGGGTCACTGGAAAACAAGAGTGACCCCCAAAGAAGTATGACCAAAAAAGCTTTTGGCATACTTTCCTTCTAAGTGACGCTTCAGTTTCCGGCTGATAAAGGAGAACATCTATATTCTATATCATATAAAGTAAGCACAGTTACATTCATTTTGGCCTTATAATACACAAGAAGTTACTTTTTAGTACACATGAACCTAATTTTATTTTAATTCTATGCTCCCAATAGATGGGAACCCAGTTAATGGTTATCACTCCAGGGATTCCGTACTCCCCTGGCCAAACACATTTATAACACAGCTCTGATCAGTAGGGCCTGTAAATGCCCGCTCTTTTATTGCACAATGTCCCCTCCAACATGTAGATAAACATCCTGCAATACTTCACACACATCTCCGTGCTTATATGTGTCTTGGCTGTCATTGTACAGGTGCCATCCTTGGAAGATTAGACATGATGGGCTGAACATTCTCAAAGTGCAGCCTGCTAAGCCTGTCTTCTATATTCTAAGCCACCCCCTGTTTATTTAGATGTTAAAAGGAACACAGCTACCCAGTGTGACATACACATGCAAAAATGCCAAAATTATCTGTCCTGTGCCTGTCTGTAGGAATGACATTTCATACATCTGTTACAGGCACTATAGGCAAAATAAAAAAAAGACATAAGTAGTGCAATCTGTCAGTTGCATGAACACAGCAGTTTCTGCTTTTCTGAGTTCTCCCTGTATCATAGTTTTATTACTACTGATTCTGCCTTTAGTCAATTTTTTCACTTCCTGTAAAAAGATGACAACCCTGTTTGTTCTGCAGTGAAATTGTGCATGGGTATTGTCACTGTGTGAATAGGGTAGTTTTACATGTACATGTAGTTTGAAATTAACTTTAAAATGATTGTAAAGGTTCAGTTTCTTTAAAAAAAAAAACATGTCATACTTACCTGCTCCGTGCACTGGTTTTGCATAGAGCAGCCCCGGTCCTCCTCTTCTCAATCCCCTGCCAACGCTCCTGGCTCCTCCTCCCTGCTGGAATTCCTCTGCTTCCTCTGGGGGCACTCATGCGTGTTTTCTCCTGAGCCACCTCTGTGTGCCTATGAGACACACAGAGCACAGCTCAGCCCCGCCCCTTCTCTCTCTTCACTGACTGTGATTGACAGCCAATGAGGAGGGAGAGATCCAGGAGAGCTGCTGCTCTTGTGCACAATGCTAGATCAAGATTGAGGTTAGGTAAGCATTGGAGGGGGTGGGGGGTGGGGGGTGGAGCTTCACACTAAAGGTGTTTTACTTTCATGCATAGAATGCATGAAGGTAAAAAACCTTCAGCTTTTAGAACCAATTTAACTTGCCCTCCAGAGGATTTAACCCCCTTCCTGACCAGGCCATTTTTTGCAATATTGCGCTGCGTTACTGTAACTGAAAATTGCGCGGTCATGCAATGCTGTACATAAATTAAATTGATGTCTTTTTTTTTCTAGAATTAGTGCTTTCTTTTGGTGGTATTTGATCACCTCTGTGTTTTTTATTTGTTGCACTATAAACAAAAAAAGACCAACAATTTTGAAAAAAAACCCCAATATTTTTGACTTTTTGCTATAAAAACATATCCAATAAAAAAATAAAAAAAATCTAATTTCTTCATAAAATTTCAGTCAAAATGTATTCTGCTACGTCTTTGCTTGGTTTACGGGAAAGTTATACCGTCTACAAATGGCGGGATATATACTGAAATTTTTACAAATTTTTTTATATTAGTAATGGCGGTGATCAGCGACTTATAGCGGGACCTCGGAGGTCATTCTGACACTGGGGGGGGGGGGGAACTGACTAACTGCCACTGACATCCCCAGTAACACTAATGCAGTGATCAGTGCTAATAAAAAGCACTGACACTATACTAATGACATTGGGCAGGAAGGGCTTACCATCTGGGGTGATCAAAGGGTTAACTGTGTGCTGTGTGTGTTTTACTGTGTGCTGTGTTTTACTAGGGAGACATGCTGTTTTGTATCTCTCTGCTGTGCTGTGCAAAGAGATACAAAACAGCATGTCTGTGCTGAAAGGAGAGAGACCTGTATTGTTACACACACGTCTCTCGCCTGTCAGCTTTACCCAACAATTGCCGAGTGGCGGGCTGGGATTGACATCCCTAGTCACCAATAGCATATATATATGTGATTTTGCGCAGCCCTGCTGTCTTGCAGCAGTACTTCTAGGAAAGCGGTTAAGTAACAAATTAAAGCCCAACTCCATCTAACACATTAATCACAACAGTGATTAAGTAATAACTGTTGTGACACTGCTGTGACAGTAATCACATTCTTTTCTATTGGAAAACCATATGAAAAAGCTAACTGTTGAACCACCCCTGCCAGTTTAACATGGTTTATTCCAACCCGGTAACTGCCACTTTTGCTGTTAGGGTACACAGGGTTAGCTGTAGTCACAGGAGGTCTATACAGATTGTATACGGGCACAATTCTCTGCCCAGGAGTCACAGGTGCAGCATACAGCCTGCTACAAGCAGCTTGTCAAAACCAATGACAGACTGAAATATGCAGCACCTATAGGCCAAGATATGCCCATCCAAGCTGTGCTTGCAAACAGGGATGTACAATATGTGCTGTCCCAGGCATAGACAGCCTGTGATTAGAGCAGCACATACATCCCTGTATGTAAGTATCACTCAGATGCATATATTTTGGCATACAGCTGATGTGTAATTAGCCTGCCATTGGTTTTGACAAGCTTCTGACAGTGCACTGTCGCTGTGGCTTCTGTGCAGAAAACTACACTAGAATATACACTACACAGCCCTCTTGTACCCATGTGCATGTATTCTTAAACAAAATAGTGAATCTGTTGGCAGGATCAACAGTTAATAAAACTATGTCACAGGTGGGGTTTCTCAGAAAAACAAAGACTGCTGCGTTTATGTTATTGACAGACTGCATTATAGATGTAATTTTTCCCTTTCCCCAGAGTTCCTTTTTTATTGCCACTCCCTGCCTTCCAAATACAATCCATACCCTAAATGCTCAATTTCAGCCTTTCCATTTTCCCAAAGCTTCTCCCAAGGCTTCTTATTTTAGCACATGGCTGGGTGCATGAAACACTAAAGCTGGACATAGATGACAAGGTGGATGGAGGAATCCAAAAACATTGTAATCTGATCGCTCTCAGAATACTCTGATCAATAACTGTGACCTATTGGCTGCAGCCACTGATCAACAAAAGTTTTCCAGCATGTGCCTTCAACATTGAATAGTGATGACTACACACTGGTATTTATTTACTAAAGATGGAGAGTACAAAATCAGGTTCACTTCTGCATACAAACCTATGAGCTTCCAGGTTGTATTGCCAAGGCTTAGTTGAACAAGCTGAGGATAGAAGCTGATTGGCTACCAGCTTTAGGCGTCTTTCACATGGGCGTTCTGTATGTCCGTATTTCATCTTTCCGTGATGGATAAAAAACGGAAACCCATGTATTTATACGGACTAGCGAATGTAAATGGATGATCATTCGTTTACATCCATTAATGTCCGTATCTTTTAACATCCGCTTTTTTTAACCTCCCTGGCGGTATGATTATGTCAGAAATTTTGTACCAAAAGCGGTACCATTTTTTTGCATGGAAATTTGGTGTTATGTATTGTAGACCTGCAATTCTTAGTAATTACTTACTTAATAAATACTCATAAAAAATAATAATATAATAATAATAAATTTAATTGAATAATATAATCAAACCAAAAACACTGAAATTTGAAATATAGCGCCAAGTTCGCACATCACTGAGCAAAGTCGCAAAATCGTTTTCAGTGTCTGATAACTAATTTCCCCCAGGAATCATTATCACTCAATTCTTCAAGTAGTTCTAATTTACTATCGCTGTTCTCTAGCCGGTCTAAAACCGATTTTGACCTAAAGGGACGCTTTTTGGACGCTGTGGACTTTTCTAAGTTTCCAGGCAGAAAGAACAGTCAAAATGCAGGCAGGGCACAGAACAAAGCAGTAGGGACAAAATGTATGTGAAATGCTTTGATACAGGATTGTTTTGCTATGAAATAATCGTTTTTAAAAAAATTTAATTTTTTTTAAATTTTCAAATTTGCCGCCGCAAAGGGGACGCATCGCGGGAGCGAAGGACAAGCTAAGCGCTGTAGGGAATCCCTGTGCAACGCCGCATGGTAAGCCCGAGTGTAGCTCGGGTGTTACCGCTTTTGGTACTGAAACTTTACCCTGAGCTACACTCGGGAATACCGCCAGGGAGGTTAATGGAAGAAAATCCTATTTTTGTTCCATAAACAAACCCAGAACGGATGAAAAACGGTTGTAAATGGACAAAGAACTGTTTTAAACAGATGTAAATGGATGAAAAATGGATGTAAACTGATGTAAAACGGATGTAAACAGATGAAAAACTGATGTAAACTGATGAATAACGGATGTAAACTGATGAAAAATGGCTGAAAACGGAATCCGTTATTTCTTTGAAAAAACGTAACTAAACTGATGAAAAAAACGGAACGCCCATGTGAAAGGACCCTAAAGGCTCCTTCACACAAATGTTTAGAATGGGTTCACATGCCAGTTTTTTAGATGGACCCGATTGGAACCTCCATTCTCCTCTATGAAGCAGCTGGTGTAAACGGACATGTGTCCATTTACACCCACTAACATCCGATCTGATCTGCCAAAAAGGGATGGATGAGGATCCAATTCCCCCTCCGTCTGTTGGATCGGATAAAAACGGACAGGTGGTCCATTTTCATCCAACCGCCCATTGAGGAGAGCGAGCAGCAGACACAGAGCTGTCATCCATTGCTCAGCGGGGATCAGCTGAGAGATCCCCCTCTGAGCAAGCAGATACATTAAATGGGTCCGTCCCATGTGAAAGAGCGCTTAGTAAATTTCCCCCACTGATCAAAATTTGACTGGTCCCTGCTCAACTGGCTGAAATTTGATCAATGTATGGCCAGCTTAAGATTTATTAGCTGCCAGTGAGAATGTTCCCTTTATACAGTCAGTTCAAATTAGAATAAAAAAAAGGAAAATCTGATTACTGGCTATTAGTAACACACTATTCTTTCAGACACATTAGACAAATACAGTACATTCCTTGGCTCACAGACTGTTTGAAGTCTCCACTGGTTTTCAAGCTAGTTTTGGGTTTTCGTTCCTTGTACATCTCTTAATTAGTTGCCTTTATTCCACATTCCTTCTGTTTCTGAGATAAATGTGAAGAATTTTACAGTCTTCCCCAAATACCATCATCTTCCTCTTTTCATGCCTCCAAGACACAGTAATTAGCTTTTACAAAGCAAAACTTAGACCCATTTACGAAGCTTGGAAAGGTCACACCAAGTGCTAACGTTTTTAAAGTTCAGCATAGATGTAATTACCAACTCCTTACCCAAATGTATATTTCTACTAGCCCATTTGACAGGAAAAAAAAGCAAAATGGAATGCTATCTATTATCCAATTAGATAAATGTGTTCTAAAAGCAATGCAAATTTGGCATTGGCTATACTAATGATTACAGAAAAAAAATCATTAGCCATAATGACCTCATTAAAAAGACATCATTAATGCATCTTTTACTGATTTTATACCACTTAAGCTATAAGCAGCATTATGGTTTGATTGTAATCTGTATGTTTCTTACTTAATACTAATTGACTTTGCCTGCACATCCCATCAACACAAAATTAATTTACTTCACATTTACACTCTTCAGTGTGAGGCGGCTGTTGAAAAAAAAACTCAAGCAAAATGTACTCGGTGATTTAGTTATTTCTTGAACTAGTTCAAACGTAATCATCAACATGCATTCAGAATGGAATTGTTCTGGGCATATCGCCAGCCTTGACAGGAATGGGACAAAAGTACAACGTCTCACACATTTTGTAACAAGACAGACATCGATTTAAGGCAGGACCGGCTGTAGATCTACTTGAAGGCGCCTATAGTGTTTTATACCCAAAGGGTCACAGCAAGCAAGGGATCTGGTTAGGGATTGAAAAACTATTTAAATATAGGACTCATTAAAAAAAAAAACTTTCAGCAATTGGACCTTAGGATAACTTTTCCTTATTTTCTTAAATAAACAGAAAGATGGCTATTTAAACCAGAGATGCTTTTTAATTGCTCACTGAGGGCTCTAAACTTTTTCAAATGATACGTCTAATGTTGTTGTTGAACAATAGGATCAAGTTAGTGTGGAAGAGTTCTAACTTTTTTTTTTTTTTTTATAAAAGGGCTTGCAGGTCACTTCAATTATTGATGCAAATGTCCACTGGGGCAAAGTACACTTTGCAGTGCCCTAGTCTGCATAAATCATAAATGTATGATTTTCATATATTATTAAGAAGAATAAAAAAAATGGACTGCCTAAGCATAGCGTAAAATAATAGGTTTGTATATAGAAGTCATTACCACTTCGGGCAGAAAGAGTGACCTCGGGGTCATATCCTTGAAGTCTGGCCCTGTGTGATATGTGCTGCAGCTCCTCTTGGCACATTATTCCTCTGTGAAGCTCTCGGAGGACTAGTAAGCAAATAAGAACCCCTCATAAGAATATTTGACACACTGTATCTATATTACAGACTGCTATGACACTCCATTGGAACGTTCATTATACTGGAGGAACGCATGTCGGCATTTGGTACTGTATATAATGTCTCTGAGAGCCACACATCCAAGAGATGAGCTCATCCACGCTATTCATTTGCAAGTTGGCTTGTTGTGAAGACTGTGTAGAAAGATGAGAGGGGTGGGTGGTATAGAGTGACAAAGTCGAGTCTACATGCGTGTCAACAGTAGTTATTTCATGAAAAGGAATACAGACTTCTCATTTAGAACAGTGTATAGAAAACAGTTTCTTTGCACACATAAGGATTAGTCTCTGGCGGGATTTGTTTGCTTGTCTTGCAGTCTCTTACTCAGATACTAATACTCATTCTTTTTGTTCTGCCTTCAATACTTTACACTGTTGGCCACTAGATCTACTCCAGATTCTTTCTTTGTTGGGAATTTGAGCACATCTTTGCACTACACTGACACCACACAAATACTTATCCATATACGCACTGATGGAAACAATCCCTTACAAATACAGGGTGCAGCAGCATAACT